AGTCTAACAAAGCTCCGTCTTTAGACATTTGTTGCTATAGCAGTGGAGTCAAGCATAAATGAACTTTGTCAGATACGAGGAACTGTCTCAGAACTGCCTCCCAGCAGGATGGAGGAGTGGAATAATTAATAGGTCTAATATTCCACTTCATCCTGACAGCTTCTCGAGAACTCATGTGTGACAAGAAAGCGTAAAGACCCATCTCGCTGTCAAACAGGCTGATAAAGATGAGTCTTTTTATGATTCATGACATGAGATAAGAAGCACAAAAAAGCAAGCCCTGTGTTGGCGAAGTGCATCACTGGCAGTCCAGCTCTGATGTCGATGACATTATGTCAGATTTGTGAGATGGATATGGACGACAGATTTCACTGTGGTGCAGGCTTTCCTTGTAATTTTGCAGTTGGGCCAAATGCATGTTTTCGACAGGCTTCTAGAGAATAAATCTTTTTTTTTTTCTTGTCATTTTTTTTTTCTTTAAAATCAAAAGTGGCACAGTTATTGCAGTGAACGTAGCGATGCATGCTGGGACTGTTCTCCCGTGAGCTTTGTGAAAACCAGCAGAGCACGATATGGCTCTCCATGGTCTGTTGGTGTAGAGGCAAGCCGAAACAAATAATACAGCTCCCTATTTGGAAGGCATTATTCCCACAGAAGTGTGAGGCTATTTATGTTGAGTGTGGGCGTGTATAATGAGTGTGGCCATACCAATGTGCCAATTAGTCTCATACATGCATGCCTGCTTTGCCACTTGTTGGGAATTAAGATGTGATTTTGACAGAAATAACTGCAGCTGTGATGTCGATCGTGGGCTTGGATTATGTGATTTTTTTTTGATTTTTTTTTTTTTAAGCCTGATGCCTGATTTAATGAAGGCTGGTTTTCCAATAAATTTTAATATTTGGATTAAAGTGCTTCAGAAAGACTGTGTGACTGTGTGAGACAGTCGGACGCTGTTAATTGAAAGCAAGGATAATTATTATTATTAAGAATAACATCTTCCCACAGTCTGCCAGATAGGTCCTGATCAATTTTACAATAAATACGCCCTCAAACAAAGATGCATCACATTCATCTTGTGGAGGTTACACTGTGACACTGAATATCACGAAACTGAGTTTTACTTTGAGTCCAAAATGTGGGCAAAACCAATTTCAGTCCAAAGTGACTTAGGGCAGAAATTAGTGTTGTGAATTTAACTAAATGCTGTGCGGAAGAAAAGATGGCGGTAAATATATTTGCCTAATCATTTGGTGACTTTACCACTCACACTGCACAATGTGTGCAACACAACTCAAGGCTTTGATGTGAGTTTTATTAGTTTTATCTCTAAAGGACAGTTGGGAGATTAAGTGTAACTTAATCTCTCCAAACCTCTGTGCCTGTTGGCAAATGGCAGTTTTCTGCAACACTAGCATTACCCTCATTACATGAAAACTGGATAGAAGTTGGCCTTATCATGTTGTGTTTTCCAGATGGCAATAGCTAACAAGACAACAAATGTGGGAATAATAGGAAGGGAATGGCCTCGAATCAAAGCAACAAATAATACTGCTGTCGACCTCAGTTAGTACCACGAGCACTGCAGGTGAGTTGTTCCTTTGGCATGGACAGGTGCGTTTAAGAGAGAGGCCTGCAGAGAACTGAGCAATTTATTCGACATTTTTAAACCAATCGGTGGGCCGGCTCTTGATTGATCTGTTGTTTATTGCACAGACTCGGGGTATTCTTTCCTTAATTTAATACTGAACTGAGAGGAGAAGCCTGATTTGTAATCTGCAGAGCCACTTTTCCTCACACTGTATGTATATTTTTCAGCCATCCTGGCTCCAATACCATCACACTTGTCAGGACTCCGGTCTATTACTTTCTCCTCCTTTTCTAAAAGACAGCAATTAATCTAATTAGTAATCAATCAGCCTTTAGGCCTCCCGCCTCCTCTGTGCTAATGGAGGATATGACAGGCCTGGACCTTGCATTATTAATACCACCATTCCTGTACCCCTAGACCCCCCCCCTCCCCGAACGCCCACTGCCAGGGGGCCATTGATCACTACCATAACCAAGCGAGCACTGCAGGGAAGTTTCCAGCGTAGTGGGATTGTAGACGGGAATGTGGTGTGTCGTCGTGTGGTGTGTTGCTGTGCAATCCGTTCAGTGGGATTTAGCATAATTTTGGTAACGGAAAGAATTTGCCAACTTTGCTCACGGGAGACCAACTAGAT